TTGGCTTCTCACTTCAGCTGGGGTGACAGGCATGAGCCCCTGCCCTCTGCAGAAATAGCTGATTTTTTTTTTTTTTTTTTTTTTTTTTTTTTGGTTTTTCAAGTCAGGGTTTCTCTGTAGCTTTGGAGCCTGTCCTGGAACTAGCTCTTGTAGACCAGGCTGGCCTCGAACTCACAGAGATCCACCTGCCTCTGCCTCCTGAGTGCTGGGATTAAAGGCGTGCGCCACCACTGCCCGGCAAAATCGCTGATTTTTAAGAGAAATGTTAAGAGTACATTTATTTATGTGAGTATGTGGTTAGATGGCTGGGTGCATGCCACTCTGTGCGTGTTGGAGGGCAGAGGACAGCCTATGGGAGTCACTTCTCCCCTCCACCATGTGGGTCTCAGGAACTGATCTCAGGCTGTCAGGTTTGGTGGAGCGCGCCCTTACCAGCTGGTCCTTCTCAGTGGCCCAGGGATGGGCAGTGTTGATTGGGCACTAGTCAGGCCAGGGGCCTCTCTCAGAATTTTCTATGTAGTGAGTACACTCATTTCTCAACAAAGTTTGAGTGGAAGGTGAGGATGCTCACCTCTGGTCTACGAAGGGCAGTTGTGCCTTAGAGAGCGGGAGTGCCTGGCCCTACATGGTGATATATGACCTGACCAGAGTTCATAGCCAGGAGGAGGCTGGCAGAGCCGTGTGTGTGTGTGTGTGTGTGTGTGTGTGTGTGCGTGCGCATGTGTGTGTGGTTCCATGTACGTATATGCCTATAACTGATTCTGAAAGAAGGAGTCTCCTTGTGACCCCTCCTCTCATTCCTGTCACCCACCCACCCACCCCTATGATGTTTGTACACATATTTTGCTGGAACAGAACTGGGGTGGAGGAGGATCCTACTGGGCCCTGACTTGCTCACTGCCTGCAGGTGGCGTGGTGACTGCGGGCCTGGCCATCTATGACACAATGCAATATATTCTGAACCCCATCTGCACGTGGTGTGTAGGACAGGCTGCCAGCATGGGCTCCCTGCTCCTCGCTGCTGGCAGCCCAGGCATGCGCCACTCACTGCCCAATTCCAGAATCATGATCCACCAGCCCTCTGGAGGTGCCAGGGTGAGTACAGGTCTTGCTGGGACGTGGGAGGAAGTCTAGGCCGCTGGTCGTTGCTTGTTGAGACAGTATCTCACCTTGCAGCCTTAGCTGTCCTGGAGCACACTGTAGACCAGGCTGGCCTCTAGCCCACTGAGATCTCTCTGCCTCTGCTCTGCCTCTGCCTCCTGCCTCTGCTTTGAGATAGGTGTTTTCATGACTTGGGAGGTGCTCCTTGGGTAGAATGCTTGCTACGCTTCGGCAAGACGCTGGGTCCTATCTCTGCCGCCAGAGGAAAGGATAACTAGCAAAAGCAGAGCCAGGCATGGTGGGCAAGCGCCCTCAGTTCCAGAACTCGGGAGGCAGAAGCAGACAGATCACTTGAATTTGAGGCCAGCCTGGTCTACAGAAAGAGTTCAGGACAGCTAGAGCTATGTAGAGAAACCGTGTCACAAAGCAAAAGAAAAGTAAGATAAAATAAAATTGATCAATGGGAAGGAAGTAGGCTCAGAAACTGCAGGGTTGAAGCACAGGAATAGCTCCTTCACTCTGACATCCCACTGGGGGAGGAAACCCCTCCAGTTCTGGGCTTATCTTCTTCCTGCATTTACCACTCGCTTTTCAGGGCCAAGCCACAGACATCGCCATCCAGGCCGAGGAGATCATGAAGCTGAAAAAGCAGCTGTACAACATCTACGCCAAACACACGAAGCAGAGCCTGCAGGTGATCGGTGAGCACCCAGCCCGTACAGCACTTCCATGGACTGCATTGTCCTGAGCCAGGACTTCCCCAGCTGGACATGACTGTGGTGGGATCACCCTGAGCCTTGGGCATGGGCAGCAGACTCACTGGCTACAAATGCTCTGAGCCTGTGACCCCTTCCAGTGCTGAGAGCCAGGTGTCTCTAAATGGTGGGGGTGAGGCTCAGGGGTGGAGCCCTGCCTAGAATCCCCAATGAGGGGATGGCGGTGTGCCTTAAGTATAGATTTTATGCCAAGTAGTGGTGGCGCATGCCCTTAATCCCAGCACTTGGGAGGCAGAGGCCGGCAGATCTCTTGAATTTGAGACCAGCCTGGTCTACAAACCAAGTTCCAGGACAGCCAGAGCTACACAGAGAAACCTGTCTCAAAAATCAAAACAAAACAAATATACATTTCTTTCCCTTTTTTTTTTTTTTTTGGTTTTTTTTTTTTTTTCGAGACAGGGTTTCTCTGTGGTTTTGGAGCCTGTCCTGGAACTAGCTCTTATAGACCAGGCTGGTCTCAAACTCACAGAGATCCGCCTGCCTCTGCCTCCCAAGTGCTGGGATTAAAGGCGTGCGCCACCACCGCCCGGCCTCTTTCCCTTTTTTTTAAAAATTCATTTTTTTTTATTATATGTATATGTATATGAGTGTTTTTCCAGCATGTATGTCTGTGAATTGCATGTGTGCCTGGTGCCTGTGGAGGTCAGAAGAGGGTGTCAGATCCCCTTGAACTAGAGTTATATAAACAGTTGTGAGCCGCTGTGTGGGTGCTGAGAACTGAACCAGGGTCCTCTGCCAGAACAAGGTCTCTTGGTCCATCTGAGCCAGTTCTCCAACTATCAGCCATGAAAACTGGCTCTGTCGGTCCGTGCTGTTTTGACAGAGTATATTTGGGTGGGGGGAGGTAGCAAGGGATACTGGTGCCAGCAGGGTTTCCCTGGTGCCTGTGACATTCGTTTTTTAAAAATGGTTGATTTGGGGAGCATGTGCCTGCCACAGTGGATATGTGGCAGTCAGAGGACAGTTTGTAGATCAGCTCTCTCCTGATACTCTGTGCATTGTGGTGGTTGAACACACACTCAATGCTCAGCGGAATTGGTGGCAAGCCGTGTGGCTGGCCCACATGCCATTCTTTGATCTCTCTTGTTGCTGGTGAGTGTGGGCATGCGTGTACTGTGACGTGTAGAGGCCAGAGGACAGTGTTCAGGAGGCGATTCTCTTCACTGTGGTAGTGCACACCTGTCGTTCCCAGCACTTGGCAGGTACAGGCAGGAGAATCGGGAGTCATCCCTTTGAGGCCATCCTGGACTACATGAGCTCCTGCCTGAAAACATGTATTTCTTACTGCTGGGGAAACTGAGACACAGAGAAGTTCCAAGCCCCATGGGAAACAATTGTCAGAGTGCGTGTCTTAACTCAGGAAGCTGGAACACGCTGTGGGGCTGGAAGATAAAATGCTAGGAATGGGTATCTGAGTCCTGGGAGCAGGACAGTCAGGGACAGCTGGTGCCTGGAAGGCAACCTTTAACCTTCAGCTCCCAACCCTTTGCCTTGCTGGTGGTTCTGGGGTCGGAATCAGGGCACAGAGCAGGCTAGACCAGTGCTCTATCAATTGACTTTTTTTTAAAGACATGATCTTGGTCTGTATCCCTGGCTGGCCTTGAACTTTGGATCCTCCTGCTCTAGCCTCTCAAGTGGTTTTCTCTTTTAGTAACGGCACTGATCCTGTGGTCCCATCCTCAAAACTTCATAAACCATCTGCTACCTGTGGGGACTTCAAACCTAGGTATCTGGGGAAAGCATCCCAGGTCTCTGCTCTGACTTACGTGTACGTACTGCTTCCCACCAGAGTCGGCCATGGAGAGGGACCGCTACATGAGCCCCATGGAGGCCCAAGAGTTTGGCATCTTGGACAAGGTCTTGGTGCACCCACCTCAGGATGGGGAGGATGAGCCAGAACTGGTACAAAAGGAGACTCCCACAGCACCGGCTGACTCTCCTGCCCCAGCGAGTACCTAGGGCCTGACCTCATCTCTAGGAGTGTGGAGACCCAGGACTGCTCCACACTCTGTCTACTGAGCCCAGAGGTACCCCTGGAGAAGATGTGGACTGAGGCTGCCCGCCAGCTTGAGACACTGTGACTTTACATTAAATCTTTGTGGTTTTTGCCCCATGTCTGAGGCACCTTCCTTACCTCTCCAAGACACCAGGCCGCTTCCACTTTGACTCCACGACAAACCACTTTGTTTGTCTGGTTGTCGAGACAGGGTTTCTCTGTGTGAACCTGGCTGGGTCTCAAACTCATAGATCCTCCTGCCTCTGCCTCCCGAGTGCTGGGATTAAAGGTGTGCTCCACCGTGCATGGCTGTTAGCAAGCTTTTAAGCCAGTAGGTAGAACTATGGTTTTGATTATGTGTGGGTTTGTGTACCTGAGTGCAGTACCCCTGGTGGCCAGAAGAGGGTATTGGGTCCCTGGAGCTTCCCTGTGGGTGCTGGAACTTGAGAGAAGTACATCTTACCTGCTGAGCCTGTCTCTGCCCCTGGAGAGGGTAGGTAGTGTGGGCTGGAGGTCCACCAGACGCGACATGGAGGAGCCACCATCCTCAGACCCATGAGACCTGGCTCTTTGCCATAGGATCCAAAAGCAGGCTGGAGCCAGAAAGAATGGTAGGGGAAATTTTTGTGGACTTTTTACCAAAAAGGGAAGCAGAGGATTGGGTATATAGATATAGCTGAAAAAGGAAATTGGACACTTATTTGTGGGAGAGGGGGCAGGTGCCAGTATCCCTGTGGAGATCTGGAGTGACTTCTCTGCTTTGTGGGGGGTGGGGGGATCGGAGGAGTGGTCCTGGGGATCACACCAACGCTACCAGTGCCTTTACCTGCTGAGCCATCTTCGTGAGCCCAGGTGTTATTAGGGTGGTAGACAGTTTTTTGTTTTTAAATTCAGAAAATTTGAGGTGTGGGTTGTATTAATGGGTCTTACTTGTTTGAGCATCTTATTTTTTTTATTGTTTGGACAGCATCTCCTGTAGTTCAGGTTGAAGTTGCCATTCCCCTTCTCTCCGCCAGGGTGTGCTGAATAGCAGCTGTCGGGCCGTACTAGCACGCGGGTTGAACCTCTAACCTTGACTTTACCCCCACGTGACCCCAAGCCTCGGTTAGCCCAGATTCAGCACCTCAAGCACGAACCGGACAGATCAAGTCAGGGCCCAGAGGCGGGACTAACACTAGACGGTCTGGGGCACAGCTAATAGAACGAGCTCAAGTCCACTAGCGTGCGGTAGGAGGCGGGCTCAGAGCTGGCCTCAGCCAATGGCTTGCGGGAACATGAGCCGTCTTTTAAGCGGTCGCCTGAAGATGGCGGTCAGCGGGCGCCTGGCGATGCGGATGCTTTCTGGGTGCGGCTGGGTTCGCGCCTCGGACCCCGCCGTGCTGAGCCGCCTGCGCGATGAGGCCGTGGTGCGGCCTGGCTTTCTGAGCCAGGCGGAGGAGGACACGCTGACACGCGAACTGGAGCCCCAGCTGCGGCGCCGGCGCTATGAGTACGACCACTGGGATGCGGTGAGTGGGCGGAGCCACAGGGGGCAGGGACTATGATGGGACGCCCACGGGGCGGGGCCGTCTAGTAGACGGCGAGCCCTGGGGCGGGACTCGGTGGGCTCGGCCGGGCTAGGACCGGTGTAGTGTGTCTGGGACTGGGGATTGGTCTCTCGCGGCACTGCTTTGGTGTGTGTCGTGGCGGGTACTTGGCAGCTCAGGAGGGACAAAGTTCGGAACACTAGGATCCGGACATCCTATGGGACAGGGCTGATCTTAATGCCAGAGCTGAGGAAGGGGGAAGGTCTGCAGCTGGGTGGTGTGGGTGGGACCTAGAGCTGCGGGGGCCTGAGCCAGGAAGGTGAGCCAGGAGTGCTGAGTCCAGGGGGATAGAGCAGTGCATGGGCTTGGAATCGGAGGACCTTTGTGGGCATAAGGGAATGGGCTGCAAAGGCAAGATTCCTTTGGACATGAGGTCTTGCAGCTGATGGCTGTCGACAAGGTCAGAAGTAGAAAGAAGACTCGGGTGAGGGGGTGCCAGCAGTTGGGGTCTCTCCAGGGTCTTAGTGAGATTGAATTGAGCCCGGAGACTGAGACTCCGAATACTGGGGCAGCACCAGGGACTAGGAATTGGAGCCTGGAGACCAGATGTGCGGTTGAGACCTCTCTGAGCCAGCTTAGGATTATAAATTAAAGCAGGAAAAACTACCTGTGGACTGTGCCTCATTTCCCTCTCCTGGAAGTTTCCAACTATGACCTGAGCTCTCTGTGCAGGCCATCCACGGTTTCAGGGAGACCGAGAAGTCCCGATGGTCTGATGCAAGCCAAGCCATTCTGCATCGGGTCCAGGAGGCTGCCTTTGGCCCTGACCAGACCCTGCTATCCTTGGTTCACGTGTTGGACCTGGAACCCCGGGGCTACATCAAGCCCCATGTTGACAGTGTCAAGGTGGGCAGAAGGCAGTTCCTCAGAACTCCGAGGATCTGGGTGGGCAGGAGGGCAGATCTGAGCCTGATCCCACCCCCTCTTCCAGTTCTGTGGATCCACCATTGCTGGCCTCTCCCTGCTGTCCCCAAGTGTTATGAAGTTGGTGCACACCCAGGAACCTGAGCAGTGGCTGGAACTGCTGCTGGAACCAGGCTCCCTCTATATTCTAAGGTAATGCCTTGCCCAGAAGCCCTCAGATGAGGTCAGGTGCTTCTAACACCTCTTGTTTGTGCTCTCACAGCAGAGGAAGCAGCCACCACCACTCAGAAAAACTGTAGAAATGCTGGAAGGGTTGGATTTCCCCCCACCCACCCCAGTCAGCCCATCTCTTCTTGCAGGGGTTCAGCCCGATACGACTTCTCCCATGAGATCCTTCGAGATGAAGAATCATTTTTTGGGGAGCGACGTGTCCCTCGGGGCCGACGCATCTCAGTGATTTGCCGCTCCCTCCCTGAGGGGATGGGGTCAGGAAGGCCAGAAAAGCCACCCTCAGCCAGCTGACTTCTACGCCTGTCCTCTGGACTTGTGAATAAAGTTGGAAAAAGAATACTGTGGTTGTCTTCAAATTACCATCTGCCAGGGCTAGGGCCCTCAAGAGACAAGTCTTAGAACCCACATAGCCTGGAGGCTTGCCAGGGTGTACCCCATCACACATACTCCTAAAGCCATTAGAACATTCCTTTTATTGCATTAATTGCTGATCCTCAGTCCCGGGTCTCTTCCTTCTCTTCTTCACCTAGACAAGTTTCTAATAAACGTTACCTGAGCCCTTCAAAGCCCAGGTTCCCTCATGCTTCTGATTCTGAGACACAGAGCTGGCCACCTTCAGCCACCACAGCCACAAGCAGCTGCTGAGAGCTGAGGCAGCTGCTGCCAGCGGTGACGGTCGTCGAGGAAGGTCACATCAGCATAGCTGGTGGGCCGGCAGCAGGGTCGACCATGGGCCCGACCCTGCCCACGCAGTCGGGCCAGCACCAGGCTGTGCTGGGTACGGGCCTCTCGGGGACAGCTGCCAGCACAGTATCGGAAGATGACCTTCTCCTCTGAGGCATAGCCCAGGCCCAGCTCAGCCACCGGCAGTGTCAGGCTCCACAGCTGGCATGGACCAGCCAGAGCTCTTGAAAGGCGGACATGGATGTTACCTAGTGCAGGGTAGAACAGGAATATGAGACAAGAGGGTTTTAGAAGGAACTGGGGAGTCATGAGGCGCCCCCAGGAATTCTTACCCTCCTGGGGCTTCCAGGTCCCTCCAGTCTCTGCCATCTCCTCAAACAAGAGCTCTTCTGCCGTTGCAGCCCTTTGAGGATCAGAGCCCCACCCGAGGCCCAGGTGCAAGGACAGGAGCAGCAGAAACATGAGTGTTAGTCTTCCTGCAGCCATTGTGACAGGGAGGGCCCAGGATGCTAAGACCCTGGTCCCCTCAATTTATTCACTGCCTGTCCTGGGGATTAAACTCACTGCCAACACCATGGCTTAGGGAAGCCACTGGGGTTCCACCCACCTTGTCCCCACATCCTCACCCCTAAGAATTGATGGCTTACCCACCCAGACATTCCATAGATCCATTTCCGGATGCCCCTGATTTATGAATGCCCCACCACCGGCCAGAAACAAAGCCCAGAGCTAGCCACCAATCTGTGTCCCCACCCCACCTGCTTTTGCTGGGAAGTGCAGGGACACCAGAAGAGAGTCTCTTGAGGGGTCATGCCCTAGAGTGTGGGCCATGTGGGGCCAATCAGGACCGGGAAGGGCTCATGGCAGATGGAAGAGTCAGTGGGCTTCCATCCATCTCGGATTCAGTTAGGATTAAGGCATCGCACCCTTGTCTCCGGGCCTGGTTGAGCCAGCATCAAAACAGGAAAAGGGAGTCTAGGCGATAGCCAAGGGCTGGGACTCCCCTTCTTGGAAGGCCAACCTGAAAAGGCACAGCTATAGCCAATCTGGGTTTTAGAGCATCAGACCCAAGGGGAAGCTGGAGCTTGCTGGATCCCATCATTCCCGAGAAGGAACAGGTTTTGCTGACTTTTAAACCCTGAGACCCAGCAGTGGATATGGGCAACATCAAACCAAGGACGTTGGAGGCAAAGGAATCCAAGTGGTGCTGGACGTGGCAGTGCATGCTGCCCACTCCTGGATACCTCAGCGCTCAGGAGGCTGGGGCAGGATTGCTGCAGGCTGTAGCCGGCATAAGCTAGAGCGAGGCCATCTCCCACATTCGAAGCCCTGGGTTCCATCCAAATCACAGCATAAAATGACATGAGGTGCATGCCTGTCATCTCAGCACTGGGGAGGCTGAGGCAGGAGGAGCACTAGTTCAAGGCCAGCCTAGGCTATGTGAGACTCTATCTCAAAAGGAAAAGAAACAACAACAATGGCTTTCAAAACCAAAGGTCACTTGTATGCCATGCAGAATCAAGTTTAAAACAGGTGCCCTGAACACGAGGCCCTGCCCCTAACCACAAGGCCATACCCTGCCTGCCCTGGGTGGATGACACCTTAGACCCAGTCCAAAAGGCCAGAGAGAGTGGGGTAGGATGCTCAGTGAACAGGGGCATCCCAGGGGCGGCTAAAGTGGGAGTGGGTTTCCCCTGGTGCCACTGAGAGGAAAGCCTCTCCCCTCCCCTCCCCCCTTCCTCCCTCCTTCCCTCCCAGGCTGCTCAGGACCCAGTTTTCAAGGTAGTACCTGAGGCCAAGAACCAATCAGCCATGTCACCACCCAAGAATGTAAAGTACTCTCCCTGAGCAACGCCCGGCTGGCCTGGGTAAAATATATCACTGGGCCTGTCGGGAGATAAGGGTGACCCCAGGAATGTCACTTGGAAATGGAAAACAGCATCCAAGTGCCAACACTAGGAATAGGTTTGGGTTCCAGTGGCTATGGAAGGAAGCACCTGAGCCAAGAAATGCAACAGTGGCTGGGCTGGATGCAGCGGTACTGTCATCCTAGCATCTGGGAAACTGAGTTCCCGGATAGCCTGGGCTACACAGCGAGACTCTCTCTCGAAAGATAGAAGAGCCATGCCTGCCAGTGGTACATGCCTACGACCCTAGCACTCCAGAGGTGGAGGTGGGAGGGAAGATCATGAGTTCGAGGGCAGCCTCAGCTCTAACAGTAAAGAGAGGACTGGGCACATAGCTCACTAAAAAGTGCCAAGTAGCGAGTCTGAGTCCCACCATTTCACCACTTGTGCTCAAGCACAGCGAATCCCCAGCCTGCACTCCTGGAAGACTGCTGGGAGCTGAGCATTCCCAGACAAGGTCCATTGTAAACCCCACACAACACAATGGCACAGTCAGGGCTGGGCGTGGGCAGGGCAGAGCTTCTCCAGGTGAAATTAACTCCTGAAGATGGCACAGGGAACAAGCCCTGGCCATGGACTGAGCTCAGCGGGTAGGAAGGCTGTGTCCGCCCCAGGGGAGGGCTGGGTGGCAGTGAGGACTCGCTTGCACTCTGGGCATCTCTTTATTCGCGTCACTCTTTGAGGGAGAAGTGCATCTTGTCACCAATCATCTTGCGCTCAGGGTTGAGGCGCTTGAGGATCTGCGCCAGCACATTCACCGTCTGCTCGCTGCTCAGCCCTGTCTTTTTGGTCTGGAACTTTTTCAGCAGGTCCTTTGTGGTCATGGGCTTGCGGGTCAGGTAGCGGCGCACAGCGTCCTCTGTCACCTGGACATCACTGTGGGAGGTGGAGGGAAGGAGGCTCTGGTCACACAAGAGTCCCTTGTGGCCTAGTCCTGTCTTGTGGTCCCTACTCAGATCTGAACCTACCCGCTGCTGGGTGTGGACTTCCCAGACAGGCTCTGAGGGGCCGTGTCCATCCGCAGGCGCTTGGCTGCTGGAGTCTCACCTGTCCGTTTCCCTGCTGTACAGAGAAATGTCAGGTGGGAGCAGGGGAGCAGATGGGGCATCAGGGGTGCAGAAGGATGTGGGCTGCCATTGGCTCTCAGTTCCCCCAGGGACACTCACCCTGTTCCAGCTTGCTGGCTGCAGCCCGCAGGGTGGAAGAGGTGCTTGCTGCCTCTGTACTGGGAGTTCCTGGTCGACTGGGGCCCTTAGAACTCCCCCCTGATGGCTTCCGCTCCCTCTTGGGGGGGGTCTTCTTCTTCTGCAGAGATTAGGGTGTGAGTCTGTAGGCTGGGACTACCACTCCCATCCCAGCCCTGGGCTCTGCCTTACCGCCATGAAGAGTGCAGAAGAGGTCTCGCTGTCGATGTCGCTGTCCTCCGAACTGTCTGACTCATCGCTGCTGTCTGCAGGGCCAGAGGAAGGTCATAAGCAGAGACCCTAGAGCCCACCCACCACCAGTGAGCAGGAGGATACTGTGACCCTGAGGCTCAAGTGCCCCATGTACCTTTCCTGCGCTTCTTCTCCTGTGGGGTGGGGACCTTCTTCTCTTCCTCCTCCTCCTTGTCTTCCTCAGGGGGCTTCTCCTCCTCGCTCTCCTCACTGCTCTCGCTCTGCTCATCCACGCCTGGGGACACAGGTATGAGCAGAGGGACTGCCAGGAGGGCTCCCACCCCCAGCTGGTCCCTGACACCTACCCTTGGGGCCATCCTCCTGCTGCAGCACTTTGGGCTTGCCCTCTGTCTCATCCGGGGAGCTGCTGTGGGGCAGAGAAGGGCAAACATGAAGATGGATGACCACAGGCCTGCCAAAGCCTACCATGGCCTGCCTCACACCTGCCTCACCTGGAGCCGTCTGACATGTAGTCCACCTCCTGGCCCTCAAAGTCCCCATCGTCACTGTCCTCAAAGGCCTCGTCATCTGAGCCCTTCTTCTTTTTCTTCTTCCTGCCTGCCTTGGTCAGTGGGGCCTTTTTCTTAGCTTTGGAGGCTCTGTTGCCTATGAAGGATAAAGAAGATGTGGGGGGATCAGACTGGATGAGCCCAGAGCGTTGTTCACAGCTAGGTGAGGGCTCCACTGCACCCCAGAGCCATGCCACCAGCCCCTACCTTGTATCACTGTGTTGTGTAGGGTTTGAGGGGGAAGGGTTCTCTATCCCTAAGGCCCAGCTCATCCTTTTTTAGATTTTTTTTGGGCGGGGGCATGTTCAGATAAGATTTCTCTGTGTAGTCCTGGCTGTCCTGAAACTCACTCTGTAGACCTGGCTGTCCTTGAACTCAGACCAGCCTGCCCCTGACTCCTGAGTGATTTAAGGCATGCCCTTTATATTTTAAGATGGGGTCCAGGTAGGAAGGCAGGGCTGGCTGTGAACTCTGGATCCTCTTGCCTAGGCCTGAGGTCTGGGATTGTGGCCAGCACACCAAATGAAGTAAGTCTTCATGTGTCATACCCTGACAAGGAGACTGCACCCCGTGTTAGGCCAATTCATAGAGAAAGCAGAGGCTAGTCTGGGCACTTACCCCTCCCATGCAGGCAGCTCAGCCTGCCGCCCTCACCCCACTCCACCAGAGGGGTGACAGTCACTCAGTCACCCAGGCCTGGGACCTGCAGCAGAGCACCCTCGGAACAGTCAAACTGCTCCCCTGGAAATTCTGCTAAGGTGCCATGTGTCACGTGCTTCCCTGGGAGCCCTGTCCTTGAACTAGGACCTCTAGGTCCCCGCTCACCCTCCTCGCCACTGGCATCGCTGCCATCGGAGGACATTTCCAGGTCATCCTCCAGGTCATGGATACGCAGCTCGCTGGGCTTCTTGCGGCTGCGCTTCTCCTTCTCCTCCTCATCTTCGTCCTGGTCTTGGTCCTTGAGCCGCCGCTGCTGCATGATGCTGAAGTGATTCAGAACCTTGTTCCTCCTGCACATGGGGACAGAGACTGAGCACTCTGGGGATGGTAGAGGATAGTGACCAAGTCACTCAGGCGGGCAGACAGGATGACCCCACAAGGTCGCTGATATGAGCCACACAGTATACCCTATGTAGTCTGTCACTACACAGCATGCTCCAGGAATCCGTCTCCCCAGTCAACCAACCAACCAATCAACCACAGAAAAAGACAACCTGGATCACTTCAGACACCCAAATCTTGAAACCATACAGTGTGAACCCTCAGGTCCATGTACACTGAACACTCCTCCAAGCTCAGGGTCTGTTCCAGGCAAATCCAGCCATCACATTGGTTAGCTAATTAATATTCCTTTCTATTTTTCTTTTGAGACAAGGTGTCTCTACATAGTCCTGGCTGTCTTGGAACTCATTATGTAGACCAGGCTGGCCTTGAACTCACAGAGATCCTCTTGCCTCTGTCTCCTGAGTGTTGAGATTAAAGGCATGCACCACCATGCCTGGTAAGTTTTGGGGTGTTTTGAGACCAGATCTCATATAATCCTGGCTGACCTCAAACTTAATAATACAGCAAAGAATGAAATTCAATCCCTGCTCCTCTCGCTTCCACCTTTAGGGTAACTAGTGTGCAGGTGTACAAACACACACCACATCCTCCACAATTAATTTATCTCATGGATTACTTAAGAGCAGGGGTCTTCTGGACAAGGAGCTGCTATGGACACATGCATGCATGGGGAAGAGGCTGCTTTTGACCTTGTAGTCCTGGCCCCTTGAGAACATGCACTGGTCCAGGCTTGCAAGCAGGCACACAGCAACCCCACACATCACATAAATACCCATAGCCCTCCCTGGACGCCTTATGCTGGGCCTCCCCAGTTCTCTGTCCCAGCTTCCTTGCTTCCGTTTCAACTCTACCTCCTAGGTGGCTGCCATTGGGAAGTTGTGCCCACCCGCGGTCACCACTCACTCAGCTCCCAGCTGTCCTGCTGCCTGTGCTGGGCAGGCTTGCTCCAAGGGTATTCACAGTGCGACCCCTGTAGCTCACCTCTCCCATTCCTCCTCAGCCTCCTCAGCAGTGAGTGTGCGGTGTCGAGCCAGCGGTGTGAAATTATACCAGTTCTGCACAGGAAAAGCCTCAAAGGCACCATCGGCACACTGGGTGAAGATGTAGTAGGCTGTGTTCTCTGTCACCCCACCCTTCTTTATGCCTTTGAACCTGTGGAAAGTCTCGGTCAGGTCACAACCCTACCCACAGGGCTGCCTGCACCCCCAGCTACCTCATCAGCACCCATTTGGGCTCTCCTAGGAATGCCTGGGACAGAAGGGCACAGGACACAGCCTCCTTAGCTCAAATCATCACTTGGCCCTCCTCAAAGCTGCTGCTGGCAGAATATGGGCCATGTTGCACTGTTTGCCCTGCTCCTAGCCTATAACCCGCCATGGCTTCTGTGCACAGAACACTTGTCATTGGCTCCATCAGACCCCACCTCCTTTGCCATGGATGGCCCTCTCCCAGGGGGTTGTCCCAAGTATTAAGACCTCATTTCGAGGCCACACTTGGGCTGCTGAGCCAGGCCAACAACACACAGTTGGCTCACCTTCAAGACTAAACCTTGGTCAGGGCGGTGGTACTGGGACGCCCCTTCTGCTGGAACACACTTGGGGAAGGTGCCCCTCAAGCGTGCACACATGTGTAAGAGCACAAGCTGGCCCTCCCCACCATTGGCGTCACTCACTTCCGGCCAGATTTGCCGTTGACCCGGAGCAGCCAGGGCTGGTCCTCAGGCCGGAACTCCTTCAGGACAATGCCATACTTCTTCCGTCGTGCCTCCTCCCGCAGCTTTCGGTT